CCCCTGTTCAACTCCCCATATGTTCAACTCGCCATATGTTAAAACCCCGTTTAATACCCCATGTCAAAGGGGTAAGTGTGTTAGCCGGTATGTCTGGGTTAGAGGGTTGCGGGTTTTTAATGTTGTACACACATTATATACAAGTGGATACACATAAAAGTACAAAAAAGGGCAAGAAAACTTAGCAGGGGGTATAAAACTGTGGTCATGCTTAAACCCCCTCCCTCACAGGGAACAAACGAGGGGGATAAAGGCTAGATTGGCCGGCGGGAGGATAGGTGGTAAATGTGTATACAAGTGACAAAGATCACAAAAACGTTCAAATACCAATGAAATGTTTTGTATTTGGTTCAAAACAGATATTTGTAACAAATTAATGAAAAACGAGTCAACTAAAAAGAAAATACGCAAATGGTAGATTTTAATCTATTGAAAATGGTTTAAGTTTCAAACTATTTTTATTTCCAATTTTTTCAAATTAAAATAGTTTATAATCAATTATACTCTATTAACAAATATTCTCATGTTCAGAAAATGAGAAACATTATAATTTTTTTAATGGATTATATTATTGTTTTTGGTAAATTTATAGAAACTGACAACAGTAATATGCGATATAATTGATTATTATCCATGAAACTCTAGTGGGAGTGAAGTTGACATCTGTTTTCAATTTGTACAAATCCATTGTTGAAATGGGAAAACTGTTTCTCTAGTATTGGTCAGGTTAACTTTTAAGTTAAAAAATAATTGAGGTTTAATATCAAATTGGACCTCTTGATAAAAAAATTTACATTTATTCAGACAAAATTTAAAGTTTTAGTTAAGAAACTCAATTTCTATTTTTCTTTTCTGAGACAGTAAACAGAATAGTTCGAAGTTTTTAGGTGGCAGTATATGTCATTATGACGACGGGTCCCCCCTCTACACATTCGAGTGTGGCAGTCGCACCCCCCGTTGTGTCTACGGGGTGGCCAGCTTCTTCTTGAGCAAGAACGACTTCAAAGGCAGTGACAAATGTGACGATGGAAGTTTCTTTGCCAGTGTACCACACATGTACAAATGGATTGAAACAATTATGAGTGGAAACTATAGTCAATAAAAAGCCCAAAATGTTTTACAGACATTTAAAAGAAGTTTTATTGAAGTAAACAGCGTGTTAACTAACAAAACAGTAAATTTTACGATGATTTTTAAGTTGACAATGCTCTAGCTCATGTCTGATTTCTGGCCTTCAAAATGATTTTATTTAACACGGAAACTAAAACTAGGTATTCAATATGCGTTCATTAAAAAACTGAGCACAAATCAAAAGGGAGTTTTTGTATCAGTCCAAAACTCTGGAAATTTTATAACAGGAAATTTATTTTTACAAATTTGAGCTCAGAGCCATATTATCAAATTGGGATCTTGTTAACTATCCCCCACTATGGTACCTTGTAACGAATCCCCCCTCCCTATAAGGAAAGAATTGTACCGTTAACCATATACTAATTTTGTGTCTGTTAACTATCCCCCACCCCCTATTGCAATAGGGGGGAAATAGTTAGCAAGAGCCTCAAAGTTTTCAAATTTGCAAATTAAAAGTCAAAAGTTGACCGGATTAATCAGCTGTTTCCCCACCGCCCCCTCCCACCCGCCCAATTTTTTGTAACACTTTGCAGTTAGGTGATAGAAAAAAGAGGCAAAACGTCTGGAATTTTCCGACTACCGTTTCGGATATCTGAAGAAATTTTTCTTAGAAAAAGAGGAAACTTGAAATAGTATGTAATTTAAAAAATCTTTTTTGTCGCCCACTCTACTATGTTAAAAAGCCTGCAATTATTGACCCGATTTGGCCAGGTTAGCCCAATCACAGGTGTGAGTTTACTTTAAAAACGCTTGATAAAATGATTACACTCGTAGCAATATCTTACACACTAAAAAAATTCCGTTTTCATTTGGTCATCAAGAAATGGAGACAAGGACACCCCGAGAACAAATGTTAGAAATTGTTCCAAAAAGCTTAAAGCCGGCTATATGTCATTAATGTTACGTTACTAGTAGTGAAATCTATCACTTTGTAATTTATATGGCGTGTAAGAGGCAGCGGATTTAGAGGGGGGGGGTGCGGACGCCCTCTCTCTCAGGAATTCGACCCCCCGTCAACCCAAAGGGTCCCCTTTGTACTATTTTGAGATATTCATTTTTGGCTGACTAACCTTTAAATTTTTCTAAAGGGCCTTCGGAGCCAATCTATGCTAATTTTGAGGAGGGAGCGCGCGCCAAAAAAATGCAATTTTTTGGTCAAAAATTTCCAAAAAGTGCTTTAAAACGCCTTTTTTTGCCGTTTTCAAAAATTTGCCTGCGACGCAGTAAATTTGGTAAATTTAGGGTCTTTATTGTGTTTTGGGAGAGCTCATAAAATCAATTTGGTCGACCCCAAAAAGAAATAGATAAAAATTTCCAATTTTTTTTGAAAATCCGCATCCCCTCTCGAGAAATTCCTAGATCCGCGCCTGCCTGTAAAGATGATTTAATAAAAATCTCGAAAACATTTTTTTTCAATCACCTTTGAAAAATTCATCAATATTTTTAAAGCAAACACTGATCCATAGATCTCGAAAAGCAGGCGGATAAATCAGGCCTTTGGCTTGATAGGAGCAATTTTACTGAAGATTCAAATCTGATTACGAATAACAGGACACTGATCAGGGACTGAATCAGTAATAGCGAACATTTTTTTTTGAAATTCATCATCACAGGGAGCTCAACCCGGGGAGGTTGTTCTGTGTTAGGTCCTTTGAGGACTAAAGATTACGGTTGATCTGAAGTTTGTTCAAACAGTAACATACATTCATACATTTCACGCCCTTTAGAAATGTTTTATAGTCCACCGTCGCCCGAAAATGGATGTCGTAAAATAGTTACAAAAGGGGACTACTCTTTGGTTGGCGAGGGGGTTGAACCCCTCAGGGGGAGTCCTCCCCACCGCCTTCTTACCTAAATCTGTCTCTGTTCTAATTGTGAATGCTCAACTTTATTCAGTTTTATAAATCGCCCGAAAAAAACAAAGCGTTGATAGACTCAATTGAGTGTTCTTAAGAAACAAAATAAGGGTTAACAAATAGTGCTGAAACTAAATTTTAACAAATAGTTCTACTCTTCATGGCCGGGTATGGAGGCGGTGGTGCTAGGACTTTTACCAGACTGACATTTCATCAGACCGAACTTTTACCAGACCAAAAGTTCAACCAATCAGAACGCTTCATTTTATTCGAAAAAATAAGAACACAAAACACAATAAATGTAATATTTTGGATATAATATAGCAAAACAAAGAGTTTGAATTCCTGACTAGCCGGATTTTTTAAAGCGTTCGACGAAAAATCAGCGCTATTCCTTCCGAATAATTGTTCTCGGATATATTTCCCCCGAGATACAAAAATTTTAATCTCAAAATTTTCCGGTCCAGTTCTGGAAATTTTCTCTTGTCTTAAGTGGGGGCAATCTCCTCGATTTTCCTAAAACTTTACAGGGGCAAAAAATTTCCTTTTTCTCGCCATTCGAAATTTCTTGCAATTCTTCTAGATTTTTCAAGCTAGCGATTGGATCGTTTTCAAGTTTTTCTTGAAGTTTTCCCCGAAATTTTTGGTCCGCCATCTCTTCAAAATGTTTCAAATGGTTGTGACTAGTTGGTGGATTTATAATAACATTTCGTTCTAAATCTAAGGAAAATCTCGACTCACAACTTGCATTAATACATCTATAATATTGAGTCGACTTTTCTTTCCGATTTTTAAAAATGAAAAGTTTCGGAAATTTAAATTTTCGCCTCGATTTTTACCCCTTACTTTGCTAAAATTCAATTCAAAATTAGTTCAGATCGAAAAAAAATCAAAAACAAACAAAGTTTTGAAACAAACAAAGTTCTGGTAAAAGGTCGGTCAGGGGAAAAGTCGGTCCCCGGAGGCAGTGTAGCAATTAGCAACTGTGTCTAATACAATACGACAATTGCTTTAACTTACTGTGCATTCAAAGGAAAAGAAATTTAGACTGAGTTTTTAAACAATTTTAAAAACCAGTTGATTTTTAGGGAAATGAAAATATCATTGTTGTTCAATTCAAATTCAACTAAAGTGAACGCTGATAAGACTGCAAGATCCACTTATCAATTTTCGCCCGTATATGACCCACCCTAGAATATTCACCCTAGCCGTGTGTTGTTTTTGAAAGTAGATTCCGCGAAAAAAATAAGATTTCGAACAAGCGCGCACATTATGTCAGATGAAGTTCAAATTTTTATTAAAACCATGATCTTAAGCTTATAACAAGTTATAAATAAGTAGCTAATTTACGCCTTCAAAATAAGAGTTCTTAAATTTCGATCCAGATAGTTACTTCCAAATAACTTCATATATAATGTGTCAAATTTTCAATCCTATGGCGTTAATAGCTGCAAAGAAAACAAAGACGTGGAAGAAAATTGTTCATTTGCTCGTTGAAATCAAAGAGTTTTGCAAAAGATTTGGTTTTGCTTAAAAAGAAGGATAAATCTGGGAAATATTTCAAAATAACCCGCAGCAAATAAAAATTAAAATGTTAAGTTAAAATCTTTCATTTTTTTTGGTTTTACCTATTAATGCTTTTTTGTCTATTCGTCTATTTGCTGCTTAGATTTTACATAGAAAATGCATTACTTTTGGAGTTGGATTTCACATAATTTTAATTGCTACAGTTTTGCTAAAATTGCCAAAAAATAGTTGGTTTCAGTTTTTCTAGAAAATTAAATCAGAAGCAAGCCGTGCGATGAATTATCTTCAGAATAGACGGAACGGATCCTTTTAAATAAAAGCATTATGGTTCATAGTAGCGTCTTTCATTCCTTTAAATGTCATTTTCGATGCTGTTTGAGCATGTCTATTTTGTAAATTGAAAGTTTCCATTTTGATTGGTGACCGCTTTTTTGATTGGTGACCGAGGCTGCTGAAAAAATCCTTGTGATGTGTGCTCTAAAATGATGATTTTGGGAAATATTAATTTTTTGTATATGAAAATCAAGCTTTAAAACCTGGGGAAATGTTTTGATTGATGGACATTGAATATGCATTTTTGTTGAGTTTCAAGTTTTCGAGATGTTTATTCGGGTTCTTCTTCGATCGAAATCAGTACACATAAAGAGCAGCAGTTGCAATTCCGCACATATTGCTATAGTTTCGTGCCATCAAAATGTAGCCGTCCATTCCCCAGTCCTGGCCATAGCTATTTTTCACCAACCAATAATCCTCGCCGTCGAGGCTTCCGTAGCCGACCACAAGCATCGCGTGGTTGGCGCCTACTTTTTTGCAGGTACTGTCATAGAACACTCCCTCCGTTTCCCCGTAATCCTGAAATTCATCGGTTGCCTCGATTCCGATGCTAAGTGGTCCGTATTTCACAAGAGCGAGCTTCAAATCCTCCTCGTCCATCCAGACAAAGCCAAAACCATTGATATTGACCGGCAATTTTGTAGTATAGTTATGATACTCGCATTCTGGAACATAGCCATCATCCCCAGAAACGTACGGGTAGTCTGCCTCAAGAACAGCACCATTTTGCGCGAGGAAAGCGGTTCCCAAAGCTGGCCAGCCTCCGTCGCATCCCTTATTGAGAGTTTCCGTGTCACATGACAGAAGGTACTGTTGGCTCAGAGACGGAAGTCTATCTAGAACAAAAAAATGAAACTCATAAAAATCTTACCCGCACTAGAGCTTCATGAAGGTTAAACTATGATGCTATAATGCAAAGCTATAATGCGATTCAACTATAATGCAAAATAACCACGTTTTTAAAACAACTTATATAGTATTTGATGCATTAAATGATTTATTTGGTCAAATTTTTCATCCTCGTTCTGCTCTTTTCCAAAAAACACTCAAGACGGTGTTATATTTATTTTAAAAAAATTACAATAGTGAAATCTAGATTCTTGCAAAAAAGCAGAAAACATTTCGAAGTTTTAAAAATGAAAAGCAATCTATAAAAAAGATTTTCATAATAACATCTCACGCTAGAATAACAAAAAGGTTTAGTCTCCTTGAAAAGCATTCAGAAATCTATGCACTTTTACGCGTTACTGAGTTTATATAAAAATAGCAAAAAAAATAGTGGAACTGTTTCCTTTCATAAATAATTTTTCTAAAAATACCGAGCGCAAATATTTTTTTTTGGTAAACGTCAAAAGTTTAAATTCCTGATATTTTTTCTAATCGACAACAATATGTTGAAAAGTCTGAAAAAAATTAAGTGAACAAAGTAAAGCGTATTGAGTTGCACAGGTCTCAGGATGTTCTACTTCTGCTCGTTTATTTTACATCAGAAGAATTGATATTTTTTTGCGAAATCTGAATTTCGTATTTAGCGGAGGTCAGTACCAGTCTTCTTTTTTTAAAAACCGAGAAAAAAATGTTGATTTTAAACACAATCGTCAAAAGACAAAAAACGACTGATGCTTGCGAAACTGTCTATCAATTAGCTTCAGAAAAGTTAATGTACTCTATGGTTAACTTTGCTTGGCTATGAAATTTTCTAGCATGTTAATAATTAAATTTTACTAAACGTTTTAAATATATGGGTGTTAAAACAGATAATTCGCTGCAATTTACAGATGAGGAAGACATCGTACATCGTGGCAAAAAAGACCAGACTCACTTGGACCCTGTCTAAAAATAAAACCGTTTTTGTTCTTCTGGCGCCTATTTTTCATGTAGTTTCTTTGTCAGTAGTCTCACAAGCAAACGAATCAGGACAAAACTTACGAAACAAAGAAAAACGTATAAATCGAATAAGCAATTTAAAAAAATTCAGCATAGAATCGAAATAGTTAGTGAAAACTGTTTGTTTCAAATTTTTTTTAAAAAAATCTTGTCAATATTTAAATTTTTCACCAGTTGCCTATTCGATTGTCAGTAAAGTTAGCGTCGAAAATTTATGCTGTACATTTCAAATGGTTTGATTATTTTTTTGTCCTCGAAGACAAAAGATACGGAAACTTATTTCCATACAAAGCGGTGAAAATCTTCAAACTCTTGATGTCAAACAACCTTCAATCTAGTAAATTAGAAACTGAAATTAGTGAAAAATTGCTAGTCTTGAAACTACAATCAGCTAACCTCCATTGCTTTGTCTAAATAGTAGTCCTTCGATCAACCCGGTGGTAGCAAAGGACCAACAGCTTCCGCATACCCCTTGGTCTTTCACAGAAGTCACATATCCCATTGCTGTCAAGTTCAACGATTCAGGAAGGTCACCAAGAGGTTCAATTCTCTCACGTCTAGCAGGTCTAGGGTAGCCGTTTGATTTAAGACCAAGATATTTAGCCTTGAACTCGTCAAAGGGGAGGTCGGCAAACTTGTTCAAAGACTTCTTTTTCGAAAAGATTCCCATATCATGTCCAATATTGTGCTTGCTTATCTGCAAATTTAAAAAATCTGGTGATATGTTACAATGCTTGGTAATTTTGAGTATAGCGCATGTATTAAATTTGAAAACTATAATCCACAAAATAGTCATTTACTTTTCATTCAATTGTACATGCTACTAAAATAGCTTTTGTTAATAAGTTACTGTGCCAGATGAAATTTTACTCAAGCTCAAGTTTTACAATTTTTTCACCAAAACGTTTGGCTTTGAAACAAATTATAAATATTTTTCAAAATACAACAAGCAATGATCCAGCTATTTATTTTGAACCTGTCCTTTACTGTAGGGGGCGGGCGGGGGTTATGGTGGAGGCCTTTATTTATGGGATTCGACCCCCTTCCGACCCAAAGGGTCTCCTATTAGTACTTTTTAAGAAAACCAAATTTGGCCGACCGACCATATAAATTTTCTAAAAGCGCCTTCAGTGCCATTATATAGTCATTTTGAGGTGGAGCGCGCGCCGAAAAAATGCGGTTTTTTAGTTCAAATTTTCCAAAAAGTGCCCAAAATTTTGTCCAAGTAGGGCCTTAACAGTAATCTGCGGGCGCTCGGAAACTTGTTTTGGTCGACCTAAAAAAGCGTCGAAATTTTTTTTTGAAAATCAAATGTATTTAAAAAATCGCTTCGCTCAACGCCCCCCGCCCGCCCCTTTGAGAAAATTTGGCTAGTTTTTCAAAAGAAAGTAATTGGTTCACTGTTCGGTCTGTTTTTTGCTCTTATTTATCCTACTTTTAGCCAATATCTATAATCCACAAAAGCAAAGTTTTTATACCTTAGTGAGTTTTTTGAGCCACACTTCAAAACGATAGGATTCCTCTTCCACCGAAGCGTAAGTTTTTCCATATTTGGCCTTCCAGGCCTCCCAAATTTTGGCGTCTGGAGTTTCCGAAGAACTCTTTGGCAGCTCGGCTAAGGACACCGAAAAAAGTACGAACACCACACTCAAGATTGCCAAATTCATATTGAAGTGGAGAAACTATAATTGTTCTGGGCAAGAAAAGTTACAGAAGTTATACTGATTTCGTATTTATGGTCTTATCTGCTGAACTTAGTGGACTTAGATATGCGCTCAAACCGTTTTTGAAAACCCCCCGAAATTTGATAAGGAGTGCATATTTAAACATCATGTTGAATTGGCACCACTTGTTAAACAAAAGCTTTATAATTGAAAGTTTGGCAAGGTTTGAGGCAGAGATTTTTGGTTATTTATCGTCACAAACCAAGCTTTCAGTGACTAGAAAGTCAATACTAGCTTCTTTGGAAGAAAAAAACGCGTTCTTTGACAAATAAAAGATAAAATTGCGATCACTTCGAATCTTAATCAATCAATTGTGTTGACAGATTAGGGCGTAGAACCTGAAGAGAAAAACTTGCAGCTTGCCTCAAAATTTTCTGCAAATTTGAACTAAAACTTTTTGGTTTGATTGTTAACTTTTAATCAAATTACAAATGTGATCATTTTAATCAAACTACAAGTTATCAGTTTAGGCAATTATTAGCAAATTTTGGTAGTTTTTCCATGGTTTCAAGCAAAATCGAGATTTCAAAACTATTTTAGATGAAACTATTTTCAAAACTATTTTTTGTATTGAATTGAAAGCCATAAAAAAACCCATACTCTTTGAAGCATTTCGACTCATTGGCTAGTGAAGCATTTTCGACTCATTCGACTCCTAGAGATTAATGATACATAGAAACGAAATAAAAACTACGCCACTTGTGATAAAACACAAACATTACACAAACATTACGGGCAAAAAAAATTGAAACAAAAACCACTAATTGAAAAATACAAAAATTGTCGAAAAAGAGAAAACATCATTGAAAATGTTTACTAATTTTGTCTCGAAAGAAGTCCTAATTGAAAAATCAGATCCGGTTTTACAATCGCCGACGCATAGGGATGTGTTTGTAGGTTTCTGGAATCCAGACACAAATCCTTAAACAAGTGAACATTTTGTCTGCACGATTGAAGGAAATTCAAGAACAATCGAAAGTTAACGAAAGCTGTTTTTTTGCGGAAACCACTTACAATTCACAAAATAACTTTTTGGCCTCGTAACTCGTGAAATAAGTACTCATAACCTTGACGAGTGGCAATGATGTCAAAAAAAATGGTACATTTCAGTTGAGAAAGAAACTAAACCATTGTCATGAATATGTGGAGCTAAAACGTTCTGTAATTCATAACTTTTTATGATTCTGCAATTTTCCAGAGGGAGCTTCGCTTTTGCAGTGAGCCAAGTTCAGTGAGCCAATAAAACATCAGCCAAAACTATTCAAGCATATTTAATTTTTGAAAGAAAAAAATGCCAGTAATTTGAAAAATTGAATAGGTAAATCAAACAAAAAAATTCATAAAGCAGAAGAACACTCCTTGATGGGGCAAATAAGTTAGACTGATGATGGGCAATTTTTTTATGAAAACGGACTATTTCCATTTTGATAAAATCAGGTTGTGCCCGATTTGGAATTTTTGCTGTCCCAGACGTAGTCGTTACTTCGAAGCGGAGTGAAACGGAGGAGCCAAAAAACTCTTTTTTAAGGAAGACTATCATATGGTTCAGGTGATTTGAAGAACGAAATGTTGTTCTGAAAAATTATGAATTCAGATTTAATAGCGCTTGCCAATGAGAAGTATACAGGAACCTTCAGGCTTGAACGGGATTCTAAGTACCTCGAGCCCTGTGCATTGGAGGACAAAATTATTATCAAAATTAGTCCTTTTTCTCCTGATTAAAACGCAAAAACAAATTGAAAGTTGATGAAAATCACTTTGTAGCTTGGCTTCTCCTACTTACTATAAGCAAAGGTTCGGATTCACCGTTAACGTCTCGTCTATGATTGCGCTTTACCAACAGTGTTTTTTCAGCCTTTTTTTGTTTATATTTACTCCTTTTTTTCCAAGAAACTAATCAACTAATAGACAAATCTGCAATATATCAACATATAACAAAAAAAACATGAAGCTATCAAGACAAAATGTAACGAATATTTTTCAAAAATCCTTTTTTGTTTACAGAAGACGTTAAATTTCTTTTTTTTAAGTCAACCAAATTGTTTCTTCGAGCACTTCCAGGACACTAGAAAGACTTTATTTTGATAAAGCCAAATTTTAAAGAAACTATACAGGAAAAAAATGCTACTTTCGTAAAATTTTGACAAAAAACCTTTCTTTGGGCGTGCGCGTCTCTTCAAAATTTGAACATAGCGGCGCTGAGAAAAATTTTAGGGTTAGTGGGTCGAAAATGAAAATCATTAAATATTTTGAAGAGGGACCTTTCGATTGGTAAGGAGGTCAAATCCCTCACAGAGAAAGCGTTTAAACCCCCTCCCGCCCCCACCCCTCAAACCCTCCCATGCTTGCAATTTTTTGTTTGAGAAGAACATTTGCCAAGCAGTAAAACGGAAGTGTTACATTCATAATCAATCTTGTGCAATATTGCATTTTGAAAATTAGGGCCTAACTATGATTGATCCCCCAGCAAACGCTATGGGCAATCTTTGGACAGTCTTTACTTTGCATTTTATGCAATTTTTGTCCTGAAGAGATAACAAAAAAAAACATAAAACATGCATGCTAAAAACTTTTTTTTTTCAGCGAGACCTTCAATAAAATATAAATTACTAAAAGAGGTAACCAAAATCATAATAAATTGTTTTATTATGTCTAGTTACAAAATTGTTTATAAAAGTTTTTTTTAAAGCAAGTTTGAAATATCTGGGAGAACACCATGAATTAAAGCGGAGAGCAATAACACATTTTTATTCTCAGATCCAATAGATTGTTTTATCAGTAAAACTTTTGTTAAATGTACAAACTCCTTTCAATCCAGTACTCAGCAGTAACTTTCATAAAATTGTGTTCTCATTTTCTTGGGTAGCGTTTTCAACGCATTAAGTAAAAACCACAAAACAAATTTCGTGGTTTCAACAAAGAAACTCTAAGCCATGACCGACAAAATTGTAGTTTCTGCAATACATTTTTTCAAAATTTGTGAATTGGAGACATCTTTTTCAAAAAATTGACCCATTTGGCAGAAAACTAAAAACAAGGAGGCGAAGCGAAGTTTTGCATCTTTCACGAAACAAAAATGTATGACTATGATTACCAGCAAATGATCAATAGGTCAAAAATTGGAAAACGAAAAAAAAAGAGGAAACCTTACAAAAAGCTTTCAAATTGCTAAAAAGAAACCAAACTTTTCTGCGGAAGCTAAGCCGACAGAAATTAGCAAACATGAAAGTGTAGATTTTTCGAATAACTTGAGTTTCGACAAAAAACCAGTCACAGTTGAATTCGAACTTCTGAGATTTGTCGTTTTTAGCATAGGTGTTACCAATCCACTAAATGGACAGAACCTTCCTGAATTTTTAAAAACAACAACTTGCGAAAAATAATAAAAAAGCACAGCTGGCCACAACTGGAAAAAAAATCAGAGAATAGCATTTGTAGGTAATTACCAAAACCGTAAAACAAGGAATTGCTTTTACACTCGATTGGAAACTGCCCAAAATTTAGGCAGATTTGGTGCTGCGGTAACTATGCTGACACAAAAGAAGCAGGCAAACAGAAATCGACAAAAAACTTTGGCTTGCGAAGAATGGCCTGCTTCCAAAAAAAAAACAGGCAATGGCGTGATTCGAATCATTGATCTTTGTTTTTGCAGGCATGAGCGTTACCTCTTCGTCAAATGCTCAATTTAACAGCTGACTTTGGATTTCATTTGAACCATAGGTAAAATCATTCAAGTGATTCTGTTATTTTAGTTGTTTACCCGAAAAAAAAATTGTGTTTTGGTTTGTTAACGCATGCTAATCGCAAGCGCTTTAATCTTAAAATAATCGAACTTAAGATGCAATCAACCCACAACGGTGAGATTAATTCTATCTGATGCTTACATCTGATTTGTTGTTTTTTTTGTATAAATTGTGATCAGCTCTAATTCAATTGTCCAAGGTTTATCTTGGTTATGTCATCGAATAGTTTCCCCGTTATTTTAAAATCTCGTACACAAAAAAGCCTCTAATGGCATTAGTTTTTTTTCTGCGGCATTTCAGCGATCGACTCCGTTTTGTGCTTCTAAGCAATTATTCTATTTAGGCTATGGAATTGTAAGTTTGGTTTTTCAGTTTTGCATAAACTAAACTTCCATAACAAAAGAGTGATTAAACATACCTTCTATCGGCTAATATTAACTGTTAAGTTTGGACTCAATTGGAAAAAATTCTTTAAAAACGTATAACATTATTTTGTACAGGAGCAAAGCACTTATGAAAATTCAATTTAGCAGTTGCATTGAACTCCTAGATATTTCAAACATGCAATAACGTATTGTTCAATTATTTTTTTAAATAAAATTGATACGCAAAAAATCAATAATAATCAATGGTACAAAAAACATCAAAAATTCAAAACTTATCATAGTTTTGTCATTTTTTTGTAAAAATGCCCAATTTGTTTCGATGGCGTCTGTTTTCATTGTTAAAGTTGTTGTGCCTTGGCTATCAAAGTGAAACTCAAGCCATTCAATTTGTTTGCATGCGAATTTACATTTATCCAATGATATCGCGAGATTTTCTTCGTCCAGTCTTTGGAGACTTTTTTTTGCAATGTATCTCTATGTAGATCTATTGAACCTTTTGCGATGATCAATATTTCGTCTAGATACGCATATGTATTTTAAAAATTAATTTAAATCAGATCAATTGCTTTTTGGACTTCGGCCGGCATATCTGTGAGGCCGTAGAATCATGTTTAAAAATGGTATGTTCCCGTGGCGTAATCTCCAATGAGACTAAAATTGCATTGTTCTCTCGTTTTTTTATCAAGAGGGTTTTTTGAATAAGCGTAGAATCTATCAAAAGATGAGAACAATGTTTGTTCTTTTGTGTCGGATTTTATCGTTTGTGCGATGTTGTCTAGTAGTAAATCGATGTTTGGAATCTGGTATTTGTTCTCGTGATTGAATTTATCGATTTTCTTTAATTCTAACGCCAGTTTTACTGCTTGGTCTTTCTTTACTGTTATTTCAATCGGGCTGATGTGTTGTTTGTCTCAATACTGTTCCAATTTTGTAACATGTTTCTGGTC